AGACTAAGGGAATGGGCCACCTCTGTTACCGAGGAGGATGGAGATCAGCCAGGTGGCCATGTGTGGACACTATCATGATGTAAACATGGCCACCAGACGACTAGTCATAAGACATCTACATGGCGAACATACCAGACATCTACAGTAGATGTGGACTCTCTCTCCCTCTCCTCTCCATCCCTGTCTCTCTTATTCTCAATCTCTCGCTCTCTTATTCATTCTTCTATCTTGCACACACACACACACACACACACACACACACACACACACACACACACACACACACACACACACACACACACACACCGTGGAGGATGGTAGACCAAGTGTTAAGACAGTCACAGGTAGAGGTCCTCGTCACGGTGTCTTAAGGAGGCAATACTATGCCTCCCCCGGCCTCTGATGAGTAAATAGCGGAGAGTAATGGTGAGTGAGTGGGTGGATGGATGATGGAGTGGGTGGGGAGGGGGTGAAGTGTGTCCTATCTAACCCTCATAGTAACTCTGGTGTGTTAGGGGCCTCTTACCTCCCTCCCGGTCAGCCTGGAGGTGGGGTGCCCCGCTGATAAAGTTATCAATAACAGGACTTGAAACGCAGTGGCCAACATCGTCTACCCCGCCCCACGCCCCGTGGTCAGCATCGTCTACCCCGCCCCTCGCCCCGAGTGACCACATCGCCATTCAGAAACTCACCCTCGTGTTTATGGAACTTGTCCCAACCATTCTGTGAGCTGGTTGGATGAACGCGCACAACCATTCATCCTTCTCTGCTGGAGCCCCTGAATAGATCACCTGAAGATTAGCCTCAAGCTTAATTCACCTTATGATTAACATAACCTAACTCTAACGTAATTTAACCTAACACTAACGTAATCTAACATAACCTAACGATAGCCTAGCTCAACCGAACCTAGCTTTGGGGGTTTAATTTTCAGGTGATCTACAACACTTAGCTCAACCTACCGTTACCTGTGTCTTCATAACTAGAGAACTATTGGGGCCCCAGGAAGGCATTTTTGTGTTTCCTATTCTGGCCTTTCGACTTGATAATAAGGTGTATTGAAAGGAAGGTAGGAGTTGCTGACCCTAACAGGCGTGATGTGTTACAGTGTACAGGGATACCAGTCACTGCGGGCGGCACATTGGCCATCCACAACCACCCACAGGTCTCACTAGGGGTGGACGGAGTGCCTCCTTGTGTGTCCTGGTCCTGTTGTTGTCCCCCTGTGAGTGGCCTTTGTAGGAGTTGATTAAATACCTGTTATAATGAACCACTCCCCCGTTGCAGCAACATCCACGTAAAGATTACTTGATGTTTGTATTTACGTCCAGGGTGGAGGGGAGGGGGGGGGTGAATATCTCTCCCTGGTTCACTGTGGTCCGAATGGGCTTAAAGTCGGCTCGCTGGCAGATCTTGACTGTCTCAATACAAATCCAAAACTTAAGCGAGACAAACAAGACCCACCTGAGGATATAACGTTGTTTACTCCCAGACACTGACAGCCCACCCGCTAGGTGATGGTGGGTAATGAGGTGTGTGGAACTACAGCATCATGATCATTCACGCTCAGTTACAGGTGTACGTGAAGCGGCTATTATTATCCACGCATGACGTTGTTCACACACACACACACACACACTAACAACAGACGTCATGATAGATTAGGATTCGAACACGGAGACTCGGTACACAGTGTAGTTCCTCGCGTGTTTATACTTTACTGCATCTCGGGATAGTTACGTTAGGATTTGCATTACGAATAACTTATATAAAGCCTCACATTACTCGGGGATATGTTTAAATAACGTACACATTAGGATTTACGTTATTTAGCAGCCTACGTCATTATCACCAATTTCACCTTCAACGTAAAGAAAGATATCAGATATTTTGTAGAATCTCGTTTTCACCAGATATATTGGGACTGTGATACAAGACGCTGTAGCTCGTCTCCTACTGGTCATCATGATAACTACAGGGACTCCAGATAATGGTTAGGTTATAATGACTCACGCTACATTACCCACAAGAATCGTGAGTGTCCAGGTAAACCATCAAGTAACGAGGTAAGTTCTCTGCCTTCAGCTGCCATGAACTTTTACATAAATTGACTAAAATTCGTTGACCAGGACATTGTGGTTGATGACTGTCTCCCTCAGTACCACGCCACGCCAACGCCACCGCCACACCTTCCTGGGCTTTTGTTGGTCTGAGGACAGTGTTTGTGACATTCTTAAGTGACGCTGCATCTTCCTGTACACGCAGACGAAGACAGGAACACACACATACACACTGAAAGACTTGTGTTCCATCAGTGCTCTTGGCAATTACTAGCAACATAAACATTGACAGATACTAATGTTCCTGTGTCTCATAAAACAAACATTACATGACTGTTTACTGTCTCACGACTGTTACTCTTACTATACAGGTTTGGGCCTCAGTGGCTGGTCTCTCAAGTTATCTGTGGAGGCGTTCCTACACCACTGTGGTTAATCTTAAGGTGAAATAAGCTTGGAGAGGGGGGGGTCTAATCTTCAGGTAATCCAATATTTCATTAAAAAAAAGTCATTGAATCTCCCAGAAGAGTTCAATGCCATCCATTGATAACAGTGTGGCTACGAGTCTGGGGTGACATTTGCAACACTTCCTGGTAGCTGCTGCACTGTTTCCCTTGACCAGCCGCTCTCATTTTAAACTGTGTGATGTGTCTAGTCTCTCATTCTACATTACCACCGTTTGATTTTATTTTTTGAGGCTTATTAAACATGAGAGAATCGTCACAAGAGTGTAATTAATTTCGTCCAACGTACGTACGCCCACCAACCGTACCAATTACACTGCTCCTCTTCACCGCCTCCAGCTAGATCGTAAAAACAGTGAGGTCCTGCCCGCCTCCTCGCCCCCTGGTGGTTAAACTTTCCTACTGTTTTGTTATGGAGGGTAGCTGCCCCGCCCGCCACCATCACCACTTTTTATTCAACCCGCTCACTGCAGATACTCATATAGGTGAAATGTATTTGTATTATAATTAAGTTATATCAAAGCATCGATTACAGTGCGGACACAAAAACAATTACTTTGCTGTGTACATGTTGTAACCTACAATATATATATATATATATATATATATATATATATATATATATATATATATATATATATATATATATATATATATATATATATATATATAGTACCAGTATTGTCCCTTAATGATATATAATACAAATTCTATAACTACGCTAAGTCGTTTACTTGTACGAACGTTGGTACACAACACTGGGAGATGTTTGGATACAGTTCTGTCATCTGACGCTGTCATGTTCCGTCCTAACACATTATTTGCGATAACTCGTACTGAACAAGTTAGAGCTAGTATAGAGAGATAGAAAGATATAGATAAAAATCATTTACATATTCATAAATACGTATAAATAATAAATAAAATTATTAACATATTGGATGAAATAAATGTTTTCTTAAAACTGAGGGAGGGTACGCGTGCGTGCGTACATATATCCCTGTATTTTCTGAACCACTTCCTGTACACGGCCAGTTAATTCAACACAAAAATTAAAAACAGAACGAACGTTGTATCATACTAAAAGTTGAAAGTAGCTAAGTTGTGTATAAAACAGCAAAGCGAGTCAAGCGAGCTGCTGCAACAACTGGCGCCACCTGTCTTGTGGTTGACCTAAACATGCACATATGTTCCTAATAGTTACATTATAATTCTTAATACTACTATTTTTAGGTTATTTTTCCTCATAATAATAGGTTTGAATACTATATCTATACATATGTACATACACACACACCTGTCGTAATAGCACCGTTAATGTGTTTCTATTTTTCCACACAGAAAATGGATCACCTTGTATGTGGAAATTTACATAAAACTTTCACGGTTAGTAAATTCAAAGCTTGAACGGATCGACATGTTACAATTAATATATTCAGATAAGTGTCGCCTCAATATTCCAATTAAACTGTAAAAAAATCTCGCCAACTATTCAAATAAGCGCTAAAATGACCAAAAAGAAAAAAAAAACTTAACCAAATGAGCGTCAGTTGGCTTGTGGTTACGTAGGGTTACCAGTGAAGAGAAAATTCTCTAGAATTTCGAGACAAAAAGGTAGTTTACTAAATAATCCCCAAATTTACAGATAAGTTTCGTCAAAAATTAAAATGAACTACAGTACACTTAAGGATTTTCCTGTTCAAATAATCATTATTATAAACTGGTTAGGGTTTGTGTTAACCATGACTCTGGCAACACTGAGAGGGGTGTGCTGCTGGCTAGGAAAACCTTTGGTCATATTTTTTATTATTTCTATGAGCAGACAGTTGGCGCATCACAGCTTTTCTTCAACCCGTCGAGTTTTTCACTGCGCCTGGCACACCATAATTAAACTCTCCACAATGATTCTTTGACACACAGAAAATTCATTAGCAAATAAAAAATCTCGGCCAAGATTGAATACCTGACTGTAGACTGTTGACTCATGACGCTACGTTCTTTTTATAACACTAATCAAAAAAATAACAACACCTATTTGAACTTTATAAAAAGTATTTTTCTAATTGAACACTGAATAAAGAATGACGTTTGTGAATGTTTAGAATCTGTGAATAAGTTTGTTTGTCTGGATGTCTTGAATGTAACAATACTTTACATCAAAACTAATATCAAAGACTATTATAAGAGTCTTTGCTAATATTCTGTACCAACATTCTGCACCACTCGATAATGAGAACATCTTTTAAAATTGAGAAAAAATAAAAATATAGACCTGTAAGTTGGAGGGAGGGAGGGAGGGAGGCAGGCAGTGAGCAGGTAGGGATATTTTTCTGTGACACCCTATACTACACAGCATATCACTTGCTTAGAATTTGTATGATTTTTTTCTCAGGTATTATATAGACACGGTCATTATATAATGTATTTGTACATTGTTGTTCGTTGTTCAGGATGACTTGTTACGATAATCACTTACCGGGGGGTGGTGGTCAACAGTGAGGGGAGTGTCTGGCAGTGAGCTGGTCTCTCATCTAGAAGAACAATAAATTATTAATATTCTGCAGAGAAACAACAAAAACTAAATCTAAAACAAATGCAGAAATGGAGTTCAGATTACTGCTTACTGTATCGTTGAAATCACTAAACCTTCAAACACTTTTTTAATAAGAAATGTACTTAACTAAAACAATGAACTTGATTGAAATACAGACATCCTTATCCTTAAAACAGAAATCCTCATTAACTGCCGACGTTGACTGGTGTTTACCAGACAGAAGTGAGAAAAACAATAAACTTGGACAGCTAACTTGACGTCATCTGACGACCAGAAAGGCATCATGGCTACCAACCTTACGAAACAATGGCGCCGGGAATAAATTGAATTTCTAGTAACCATGCCTTCATTATGCACATTAAACAAAGTATTTGATAAAAAGTGGGCAATGTAGAAACGTAATAATGGATGTGGTTGAGTCCTGGGTGAAGTTATTGAGGTAGAAAGTTAGATGTTAGTGTGTAATGATGTCAGTTTGACTGTTCGTCTCTTGTATGACAACAGACTCGATGGGGAAGGGGGCACCAGGGCACGTCATCCTCCTTGGCCATGAGACCTAAATAACGTACTCTCTCTCTTTACTCACATAACCTCTGTAAACATTTGATACAAATTTCACCAAGTAAAAACAAATAAACATCTCCCAATTGAAACAAATAAGCATTTACCAGAATAAATAAGTAAACATTTACCAGTATAAACATTTACAAGTATAAACAAATAAACACTACCAATAAAAACATAAGCATCCCCCAGTATAAACATGAGCATTTTGCAGTATAAAAAAAATCCCAGTATAAACAAATAAAAGTTTCGCGGTGCTAAACATATAAACGCCCCAGTATAAACAAATGAACATCTAATATAAACAAAATCCAAGTTTAAACACAAACATCTCCCGGTATAAAGACCCAGTGGAAACATGAGACAAACATCACCTCGACCTCTCATTGGTCATTAAGGGGGAGAGTCTCATGACACCTGGTGTACGGGAGCCTCTCTGTGCTGAATAAAATCATCTCGCATTAACCAAAGAAATATTGTAAGTAGTGTGTGTGTGTGTGTGTGTGTGTGTGTGTTAATAAAGAAACTCGTGTTGTGTTCTTAGATCACAACACAATAAACCTGGTGTACCGTGTTATGTTGTAGCCTCATTATGTTATGACCTCAAACTCATGGAAGAATTTGCCTAGTGTCAGCTTCAGCTTCTTCATGATCCATGTTAAAGTTTAATAAATAAAAAAATAAATAAATCAAGATGAAGAAAGTTTGTAGTGAAATGACCAGAGTCGTTTTATGTAACAAGTTGACCTCAGGTGTAGCAAGGGTGAAATACTGTTTTTAGTCCTTCCGGTGTAGTCCCACAGCTTCCTTAGTGGGCGCCGAAGTGAGGATGGCGGCTCCACCCCCTCTCCCCCTACACACATACATTCACTAAATTCATTAATTAATAAATTTCCAGGTTTATAAATGCACTGTTGGATCAGACGTCCCCCACTGGTAAGCGATGCCGAGTGAAAAAATGTGGTCGATTAGTCCGAGTTGTCAAGTATAAAACACTGCCGAGGAAGACGAGCATCAGTACTGGTCACCCACCCAAGAGATGGTACGTCATCCCGCTGATGGCCAGGGACGGTAACACGGGATATCGTCTCAGGGAAACATTTTATCTGTGTGGTAAACAGACGTAAAGAACTTGGACTCCCCGCCCACCTGGTACGATGTCCTCCGTAAACTTCCTGACCTCTCGTATGTCTATGGGGAAGGGTCGCGGAAAGGGGACGTGATTGCTGCCCGTATCATCATTGGGTACGACTTTGCTTGGGAGATTGGTATTCTCGCATCCCCTGAGCAACGCTCTTGTGCATTATGAAGAAGACCCGACAGCCGCACCCTTATCCACTACCTCCTAAGATGTCCCCACACACAACGCTTCCGTGACACCTGCTAGACCACCACTCCACGACCCCCTGACGGAGACACGATGATCCTCCCCATACTGGCCAGATATTATGCAAATAACATTGATTATGTGTTAAAGGAATATCCTTCCTTCCTTCCTTAGGCTTTAGTAAGCCCCTTTATAATATTTAAACTGTATATACTTGTCACACTTGCCAGATGCTTCTGGTGTTATTGTACAGGGGTACCTAGTGACAGCACTAGGATCCCGCTTCCTCTATCAAGGAATAAACAATTGAAATTGAAGAACTTGGATTTCATTTTTGTTTCCGAACTATCTTCATTTTGGTTGTTAGATTAGATTAGGTTAGTTTATTCGTTAATAGACCCACACAGACCCAGCTAGGAAGGGGTACTAGCCGGGGACAGGTGTTTCAGTCGAAGCAGCGCGGCCCATACGGTGATTGGAGGGAATTACAACGTCACGCCTTTCTACCTCACGTATGTTGACGTCCCTGTGTTCGGGGTACAGGGGATAGTAAAGTATTTTTTTTCTCTATATCTGTGCTGTATATCTTTGTGGTAACTCACTAACATAATAGTATTATTTTTTTTTATTGGGCACTCCCCTACAGCCTTGTGTAAGGTGAAGAGCAGAAGCGTTTACAGCGCCCAACAGGGAAGCATGCTAAGTTCATGCTTGCCTTTATGTCTCTCAAGTTAAGGGCGTAGAAGAGTATTGACATTCTTACGTGCTCCAACAACCCCTGGAATACGATACGTAATGTTGACCAGTACAATGCATATGTTTATTTACCCCAAACTTGCCTTAAACATCGTTTTATCTAAAAAAAATGAAAATGAAGTGTTTGAGTCTTGTTTATAATTCATCTATATTATTAATATATTCCTGTTGGCGCCACACCCACATGTTGGCGCCACACCCACATGTTGGCGCCACACCCACATGCTGGCCTCACACCGACATGTTGGACTCGCACCCTCCAGTTGGTCTCACAGCCTTTGTTATCACTAGATCCTTTTATTATTATTGATACCTGGAGTAGTCATGGACGGTTCCTCAGGCAGGTACTGTTTAGACGTCAGTTTGTATGATTTAATTGTGTTTTTTTTTACTTGCAAATATTCTAGAGTGACACTTCAACCTGTTTCACCTAATCAAAATAAATTCGTATTTCAAAATGAGGTGTTTATATAAATCAATGCATTTGCATAAGAAATGCTGGGGTGGTGAGCGGGAGGGTTGGCATTCCTGATCAACACAGAGACCATCGGCCGGTTGAGCGCGACAGATGTTTGTAAATCTCTTCTTCTACAGTGACTGGTTACTCTCCTCTTAGTATGGATACTAAAGGCAGGCGATACAATTTTTTTTTATAGTGAAATTTAATACTAACCATCATATTCCTTACTTCCCAACGACAGAATTATTTGTTTATAATTTCATTTACGAATGTTGTTTGTTTACATGGGTGTTCTGGTGTACGAGCTTCCGTCCAGCTGTCGGTTCCGGCACGTGGTTATGCCGTATACCTTGCTGGTCTAATACATGACACTTGTAAAAATTATATTTTAAATTTATCCGAGACATTCCCTCGTGCATGCAAGTAATAGAGAACATATTCAGTTCCTGGGATAAAATTAATTGAAATTATATATAACTAACAACGATATGAAGAACAATCAGCTTTGTTTTTTTTAATATAATCATGTAAGAACGATGATAATTTTTCAGTTGATTTAAAAACAAATTATTTACACGAAAATCTGTTTCTGAAACTCCATACTCCCATTTAAAAAAAATAGTTGGGGTACCGTATAACAAAAATAGAAAAATGGAAGTTATGAATTAAGAAATATAAATAAAATGAGGAAATGAAATATGGGCAAACTACAGAATAACCTGACAGTTGACACCACCATGAACAGTAAGCTATGAACTGGTGTTACATCTTCACTGACGGAGCAATTCTTTTACATTTCCTCGTGTCATTCACTTAACCTTCTATTGACTCTGGGTGGCGTATTCAAGCCTTCAACCCTCTCCCGTGTTATTGTGTAGGCCAGACTGAAGCCCCTAGCAGTGGAAAGTCTGGTGGTAGTGGAGGCCAGACTGAAGCCATCGACCATAAAATCAGTGGTCACCTTATCAACACCTCGAGGCTAGCGGCTATAAACGTGTGAGCGGACAACAACAAAGACGACAAAAGTCAATTGTTTAGATGATTTGCTGACAATTACTGCTCAAATTCTATCAGGTAAGACTAGAGATAAGGGAAGCCGAGATGTTGTTAATGTTATAGTGCAACACTGCCCCGGCCAAGTGTGTTTTGTATGGAGGATGCTAAAGGATATGTGTGTGTGTACATGTTTAGTTTATCTTCTGGAATTGATAGACGTGAGGGTATACTGTGTTGCAGGTGTAGGTATATTAAGTGTCGTACGCGAGGGAGAAAATATCGCACTTGTTGGCCTTACAGAATTACATGCTGAATGGCTTTTATACGAGGATTTACAGGCACAATGTACCAAATATATACATGCAAACCAACAAAGTATACGTGTCAGGATATACATCATCAACCGGAGGACAACGCCTTGAAAAAAATTATATCAACAGTAAACACACAAAAGTTGCACCGAAAGAATAATAATAATAAACTATGCAGGAAGTCAGCTGCTAGCATATGGACACAAGGGAGCCAGGATGTAAACATTACGAAATTTACATGCGCGATCATCGTCCTGCACGTGACAAGCGCCGGTAAGCAGGCAGGCTAGAGGGGTGACTGTCCACGGTTTATTGGGGTTAGTACACATTATAAACAAAAACACGCACACACAATAAGCATGAGTTGGTGTTAGCGTCATCGTGTAGCAACAACCTTCACTACAGCATGTAAAAATTGACGTCATGCAAGAGAATTTCTCTGAAGTCACATGATGGATTACCTATACTTGTCGAGATGGTGAGATCATCGAAAGCCAATAATCAACAAGTTTATTGCTCACTGTTGTGTTTGTTATAATTTTGTTGTTGTTAAGTTCGTTGATGTTGGCGGCGTAATGATTTTTGTGGTTTACAGAAGGAATAAGTTAGTGCTAGTAGTGGAGTGCTGGTAGTGATAGTTGTGGTAATGGTGATAGTGGTAGTATATGTAACACATTTAACATTATATCTTGATGTAACACTATGATTATTTTCAACAATTAATGATGAACCAATTGATACATAAACATTTTCATCGGACAATAAAAAATAAAAAATATTGAGGAAAAATAATATATATATATATATATATATATATATATATATATATATATATATATATATATATATATATATATATATATATATATGAGCCTATTATTAAAAATTTAACGTTGTGTTTATCTAAAAAAATTAAATAAATGGATTGTTTGATTATTACCATGATTGTTATAATTAGTGAGGGAAAGTGGAGGTAGTGATTGCAGCACAACACAACACTACTGCACTCAACACACTCTACTGCCCACAACGCACTCTACTGCACACAACACACTCTACTGCACACAACACACTCTACTGCATACAACGCACTCTACTGCACACAACGCAATCCACTACATAACAGGGTCTACAGTAGTCAACACACTATACTGTACACAACACTCCACTATATAGAACAAACTCCTCAAGACACTGTAACAAACCAACAGTAGTACTATCTTCTGCCAATGTGTGTGTGTGTGTGTGTAGGGGGGGGGGGTAGATACTGTTCCGGCCTTGTCCTCCTCGAGATACCCGTCAACTCTCCACCCCAGTCAACTCCAGAGAATGCATGAAATCCCAGGAGTCCTTTGCATCTTTCGCGAGTCACAGCTGAGTGCCCGTTCACGCATACCGATCCTCTTCTTGATAGTGTCCCTTACCTGCTGCTCTGTGGACGTTTTACTGTGACGGCGGAGGCAGCGGTGTAGCTGGCCGTACCTGGGTCTTTAAAGGTGGGCTCGGATCTAGTGAACATACAGTATCAAACGAGCATTTGTAGCTATCTAACGTTTGTTTGTTCTCAGCTGCTCATGAACATTCGTTGTCTGCATTCGTTTGGTTCATGTTCCGAGCAATGCAAACACCAGTGAAGAAAAGACGTTTGACGCTGCTACCAGTCGTGTTATCGTGTAAAAGATCGTCAGATTAGGACATTTTTCGTATAGACGATTATAAATTGTTTCTTAAATTAATATATACCAACAAATAACGAGCTTTTACGGCAATTTTCGCATTATGAGTTTGCCTAATTTGCATGGAACAGTGTTTCATATCTGAAGAGCATCTCAGACTCGTGAACGCTCGCCAGCGACCAACCTACCAAACCTGGCTAACCTAACATACCTATCCTAATAGTGAAGTGGATTAATGTAGGCTAGGTTAAGTCGAGTAAGTTGATTAGGGTGTTATTTTGTTAGTAATAGTTCGTATGGAAAGTTTGCTAGGGTTATAAGATTCTCTATGCTCGTAAAGTTTAACCGTAAACTTGCAGCGAATGTCCTCAAAAATATTATATTCACTACAGAAAAACAAGAGTAAGAAAGTACCAATTCCTCCAAACTTGCACTGAATATCCGAAAGGCAAGAAACAAGTTTTATTCTCTATATTTTTCCTAAGAGGCTCATAATAACACGCACTGTTGCAAGCCTTTATCCATCCATTCATGTCTGCTTGTTCACTGGTGCTTATTCGCGTTCATTCGTTAGGTTTGGACCCGCCCTATGGTGCAGCGGAGTCAATTACTGCGTCATAAACAACAACTAAGACTGTCAGCACATGAGTTAATGGACACACTTTCACGGTATTCATTTAACTGTGGGTTAGTTTCCATATGTGACTAAAGTGTTCAGTTGTATGCTCTGTTTAAATGGCCTTTTATTTGGGAAAATATTACTTGTAAATATATGGATCCTCACCAGAGAGGCTTCATATATAGGTATATTCATGAAACTCTACCAACAAATCAGAGACTAAAAATGTTAAACATAAAACAAGATGATAGTTGTGTAAGATGTGGTGAGGTAGAATATCCATTGCATGTACCTGTATTTTACTTCTGTTTCCATAACAGAGATAATTAAATGGTTTAAAAATCTCCTGAATACAGTCTGCAATGTCAATAGCAAATTATTTCTGCATTTCTTAATGTTTAATATTAACTGTAGTGATAATAAGGATAAGAATACAATGATCATGCTAATGTCAGATTATATTTACTGTATGTGGTTAAGTAGGAAAGAAAATTATAATGTTAAGGAGACTATAGCCTTTATTAAAGGCAGGATATATTATAATAAAGGGATGATCAAGTGTATTTTAAAAGAAAAGTCATCCAAATATTTCACCTACAAATATGTTAATGTGTAATATGTAATAATATGCAATATTATGTATACAGTATATATGTAAATTGTAAAATTCATAATAAAAAAAAAAATCAGCGGTTGTGTAGTCGGGGGACAGATAATACATTTCACCTACTGATGTTATAAAGTAGACCTGCGTTTGGATCACCTGATGATTAACCCCGACAATTAATTTCACCATAAGATTAATCATCCTAAAGCTAACCTAACTTAACCACCCAGGTAGTGTTAGGATGTTTTAATCTTCAGGTATTCACTAAAATCGCTTCTCTGAAATAACTAAAGTCCTTAACCACGTAGACTTAATTTAGCACATAAATAAATAACTATTTTTAACTGTGTTCCGACATACTGTACACACACACACACACACCTGGCGGCTTAACACCTGCCATGATGAACAGTTAAGAGTTCAATAGCTGGTGAATAAATCATACAGTGTTCAAGTTCAGGAATAACCGGGAGAAAGTCAACCGCCGAGGAAAAGTAATTGACTTGTTGAATTTCCTCACTCACACAAACTTGATTTTACTCAGAATTTGTCATTTGAAAAGTAAAAGGATAACCTGATGATTAACCCCAGCTTATTTCACCTGAAGATTAACCCCAAATTATCTCAACCTAAAAAGTAACAACCTAACCTAATCTAACAACTTGATTCTCCTTGGTAGCATAGGGTGTTTAATCAAGTGAAATAAGCTTGAGGCCTAATCTTCAGGTAAAATAAGCTGTGGTTGGGGGGGGGGGGCTAATCTTCTTGTGAGATAAATGGCATCCACAGTAGCACCAACACGAAGCATAAATACTACAGTACCTTACAACTAATTTGAAGAAAACAATCCCTCCAGAAGCCTACAATTAAACAGGGAAATCCGTATTACAACATCGTAAGGCATTATTTGGTTACTATTCCACGACCACCGGCATACGATTTAAGCATGAAAAAAAAAAGAATACTTAATGCCACTTTTCATGCTAAATACAGTGGTAATATGGACCATTTGGGGAAAATGCATAATTATTGAGTTAGACTGTTTTTACCTCCTAGAAAAGTAGACAGGGTTTGGTAGCCGATGGGAAATGTGGGGTTAAAAACACACAACTATAAGAATCAAGCCTGGTCACTGTACTATAATATTACCATAATAAAATTTGTACCAGATCACCGCCCTATTATATGACACGAACCCGGCTCACCATAACCCGGCTCACCATAACCCAGCTAACCTCTCCTCTCTTATTTCTCGGGGTAAGTTAGTTTAGTTGGGTTAGGTTAAGTTACTTTAGGTCGGTTCGTAGGTTAGGTTAAGCTGGGTTTGGTAGTAGGTTAGATTAGGTAAAGCAAGGTAAGATTGGATTATATTATGTAAGGTCAGGTTAGTTCGTAGGTAAATTTTAAACCGTAGCCTACCTTACCCTCCACTCAAGCCTCGCGGGTAAACAACATTATTTGGCGAGCACCTGAATATTAGACACCCTAACGTTAGCCTAACCTAATAATGGTGAAAACGGTGATGATAATTAAGATGGTGAAATGGGTGATAATAATGACGGTAGTGGTAATAATGATGATACAAGTAATTATAATAATGGCAATGGATAACCCAACGAAAGAGAGTAATGATGACATGATAATGACGACGATGACGAGTTTGATGATGACGTGAGAAGATACTGACCACAACAGTAAAGTGGACATAACAAACAATAAACTTTCACTTCTTAATAATATATAAAACCAATTTGACCAACAGTGACATACAGTAGTGGTGGCGGTCGGCACAACTCCACCCCAACCAAGCTGTAAATGTGTGAGAGAGATACTTAAATGTACACTCACCCGAGGGAGCAGCAAGTGTGGTAATCCAACAGCGGCGAGGTACACACACATACACACACACTCACAAGCATCAACACAGTTCACAAAATCCAACTTGTTTCCAGTTTCACATAGCTGAGTTCTTCTATCAATTTAAGGTTGAAATTTGAAAAAAAAATAATCATCCTTTTAAGGTCCACAACGGAACTTCAGAGTCATGCCCACTAGCCAGGCACCATAAAATTCTATTGGAGTTAAATTGCACGAGACAGCGGTTCGTTCTGTGAGGGATGGCGGGAGAGGCAGCGATACATCGTCCCTCGTTCACTGCGCGAGGGTTACTGATTTAACTTGAACTTGAGAAGTTGGGAGCCGACCGCAGCAACAGATGGTCTCAGTTGCCAAAGTGCAATTATTGATGATGTTTTTTAAACGCCAGTCATTTCCTTTATCCAGGAAATATACATTCTCTCATCAGGTGTAAACATAGACTTCAATCATTATTTATTTATCTAAAATTAATCAATATTATTTTTTTTGCGATAACTGACATGAAACCAATTTTTTTTAAATTATCCAAACACATTATCCAAACACCATCTGACCATCTCACCAAGCATTCATCATCGTTCATACGTCCATAAAATCTCTAAATATATCTTTTCACATTACTGATCAGTTCTTATATTACCTTATTCCTATTTCCACTCTTTTTCCCCATTCAGGTCATATAACGTGTGTGTGTGTGTGGTTGTGGTTAATTACAGTGTATGTATGCTAAACCACCCACCTGCCTATAAAGGATTTTGGGGCTATACTTGGTCGATTTGACTAACTGTTTGCCATTGTTTGTAATTATGTACTGTGTGTGTGTGTGTGTGTGTGTGTGTGTGTGTGTGTGTCCTCTCCCTCATTTAAGGTACAGTACTCCATAAAGGTGAAAATTCTGGGCCACTCGAATTTCAAACACACACACACACACACACACACACACACACACACACACACACACACACACACACACACACACACACACACACACACACACACATTTTATTAAATATTGTAAAAAGGAATTTGAAATTATCTGAATCTCTCTAACTTTCTTTTTCCTTTCACTTTCACCCTCTCTTTCACTATCACTCCCACAGATCAACAGACTTCCTGTAGTAGTATTCCGCCTCTCCTGAACACATCCTCTCTCATGCAACGACACCACACAACACCTCCCACCACAAACAGAACCCCACCACAAAAAACACCTCCCACATATAAATCAACTCACGTACACCCATCATTCAGCTCATCATACCTCTCATCATCATCAAAACCCCTATACCCCCAAAAGTCCTATGGCGATGGACGAGTGGCGACGGGGACAGGCAGAGATGACTGCCGGGAGTCTCTAGTCACAACTCTGCACATGGGCGGCACAGATAAGATGGTCGTTTATGCACTGGGATCTAGGCAGCAGTGCAATCTGGTCCTGTCTGTGCGACTGAGCAGCCCTTTCGAGGAGCCACTCTGCTCACCCCACATGGGGAGAGAGGGCTAGAAATGGGGCCCTAAACATAGCCTGCCTAAAAACCCAACCTGACTGGGCAACTGCATCCTTATGCGTTCAAAAACACAACCATAATCACAGATCCAAACAAAAATAAACTATACAACCTCTTATGGTCGCTGCATGGAATGTCAGGACCCTTCTGGATACTGGCACAAATGAGCGTCCTGAAAGAAAAACTGCCCTTGTGGCAAAAGACCTGGCTAGGTATAACATCGACACAGCAGCCATTAGTGAGTCCTGGCTCCCAGACGAGGGTCGACTCACAGAACGGGGGTCTGGCCATACCTTATTCTGGAAGGGTAAGCCTGCTGCGGATAGAAACCGCATTTATGGAGTTGGCTTTGCCATTCACTAACGCATCCTACACAGGCTAACTGAAATGCCTATTGGAATCAACGAGCGCCTCATGACGCCGACCTTGACAGAGTGCTAACCTCTATCCCCAGAGAAGACAAGGTTGTGCTCCTTGGTGACTTCAATGCCAGAGTTGGCAGAGATGCTGTCATTTGGCAGGGAACCAAAGGGAAAAATGGACTAGGCAAGTGTAATCCCAACGACCTACTCCTCCTCAGTAAGTGTGCTGCTCACAACCTCACTATCACCAATACCTTGTTTAGGCAGCCCAACAGGTTCAGAGGTTCTTGGCAACACCCACGATCCAAACACTGGCATCTCATTGACTACATAATTGTCAGAGAAAGAGACCGCCGAGATGTCCTCATTATCCGAGCCATGCGTGGCTCAGACCACTGCGACACTGACCATTGGCTTGTCAGAGCCAAGCTCTCACTTTACGTCGCCCCAAAACGGCGAAGTGGTGAGGCAAGAGCGCAGGCTGGAACCACACATCTTGGCTCTCCCTTTTCCTGATCCGGTTGCAACGACTGGGGAGAGGAACACTGGATCTGAGGTGATCATGATACTACCATTAACACTGGAGAATAATGGTCATACTAAAGTAACAAAGAATAGACTGAATCCCCCCACCTCACTCACTACTCCTCTCTGATAAGTATTAAAGTAGATTACTAACCCCTTGTGTACTGGACTCCCTCTGTGCTGAATAAAATTGCCTGATGTTAGTTAAGTAAAATAACAAAATTGCCGTCCCAGTAGTGAAGGGGTTAAGTGAAACAGCGTGTAAGATTGTTGGCCACACGTTAATATTATGTTAAACCTACATATATGTAATTATGATATTTGACTTAGGTGTTGTATAGTAAACGTGACCTAACCTAATCATACCTAACTAAATCTAAACCTAACCAAACCTAAATAAACCTAAACTAACCGAACCCTAACCTAACTTAACTCTCTCCAGGTAGCGTTAGAGTGAATAAATCTCCTCCAGGTGAAATAAACGATGTTTCTAATCGCAGGTGAACCCCAAAAAATTAACCACGACTAAAAAAAAAAATACATGAAAATAATAAAAAAAATAATAGCTAATAGAGTGTCATAAAAATAATAGAGAGAAAAATATTGAAGTTGAGAGATATTATACATATTACGTTGATGAGGCCGAGCGGGTAACACTGACTCACGGTCTAGTTGTCACTTCAACTAACACCAGCTGTTTATACACACGCAAAGAGAACAGGTGGTGAAAGGGGGAGGGGGGGGACACCTGTTGTTACTACCACTATTGTCACTTACTATTATACTACCAATACTATTACTACTAACCACCACCACCATTAACACCATCACTAATACATTACCACCACGCTACCACCACTACACCACTACTACTACTTCACCACATCACTATCATCAATATTATCACCACCACTACTCTCCACTACCACTTCTACTAACGCAACCAATACCACCACCACCATACTACCACCGCCACTACCATACTACCACTACCACCACCACACACTATGATTTTACCCCCCTCCCCTCTTCATCGCCTCCTTCAGTATTTCCTTCGATTATATTATCAACATAAAATTCCTCCCCCACCTCCCACCTTCCCCCATTCCTGCACGCACGCACGCACGCACGCACACACACACACACACACACACACCACCTGGTACTGTGCCTCAATGACTCTGTACTTAATTAAGGTTCGAGGAATGGCCACGAAGCCTTGTGTAGAGAAAGAAAAGTACGTCATGTGAGAGAGAGAGAGAGAGAGAGAGAGAGAGAGAGAGAGAGAGAGAGAGAGAGTGTGTGTGTGTGTGTTTTAGTCAAGACTGTTAGGTTAAGAGTGTGTTTAGTTAAGTGTGTGTTAGGTAAGTGTATGTTGGGTTAATATGTGTTAGTTAATGTATGTGTTAGTTTAAGTGTATGTGGTTAAGTGTGTAGATTAATTGTGCGTTGGATTAAGTGTTCGTTAGGTTAGCTTAAGTTTATATTAAGTTAGGTTAGGATAAGTTAAGTTAGGTTAAAGTCAGATTAGGTTTAAAGTCAGGTTAGGTTAGGTTAGGTTAGGTTAGGTAAGAAGACGTAAATACCAATACGATAAACCCGGATGTAATAACAATAATAAACCCTGAAACAGTGACGATAACAAACCCGGAAGTAGTAAGGGACACCATCAGCATGAGTATTAAGAAACAACAATATTAATCTCCTTCAATTATAAAGAACGTCTCCAAGAACGCGAGGAAGACAACTGAAGCAACGATATAATCACTCAAGCACAGGAAAAGATGAAAGTTATAACTGTATTAAGAGAGTGAGTGTGTGTGTGTGAAACTCCTGCTTTATTCGGATATCCTGATTATACAGAAGGCCCGGTGTGTGTGTGTGTGTGTGTCGCTGCACCTAATCTAATCTAATTTATCCTTGCCTGATCTAACCAAACCTAACCTAACCTAGCACAATTTTACCTAACCTTGTCTAGCCCCCATACAATTAGCGTCTGTTGATAAAATGTCGACAATGTTGCTTTCGTTAGTTCAGAAACACACTAGATCATTTATTCGATCTCTAACGTAATATTTCTATAATAACATTGATATATTATTATTTGATATAGAGCAACATTACAATCTGAAGCAGTAACTCCTTCGTTATTGGATCTATCAAGAGGTAATACACACGACCATATCCCAAAGTTCTCTGTTGAAAGTCCAAATTAATGAAAAGATGGTAAAAAAAAAAAAAAATTGGGGGTACCGCAAGGAAGTGTGTTGAGTCCCACTTTAATAATTTTAATTTTTTCTCGCACCGGATATTAGATCTGATGGTCATGATTCTAACACTTTCGTCAGGTAATAAAACTGAAGGTGTTGATGTGAGAGTTAGTACATGTCAGGGCCACATCTGGCTGTCTGTCTGTTTTATTCACACAGAATGGAGTGTGAGGGTGACGGAGATGTGTGTGTTAGGGTGGAGAATATGGGTGTTTGGGTGGAGAATGTGAGCGTGTGGGCGGAGGATTTGAGTGTGTGGGCGGGAGGAAGGGAGAGGGTGAAGTAGAGGCATCAGGTATTTACAGTCTTACTATTGTTATTCAGTCATGGTACTGGGCGGAGGACGGGGGGGGTGGAATGAGGGAGGGAGGAGTGATGGAGAGAGGAGGAGGAAAGAGAGAGGAGGAGTGAGGAGTGATGGAGGGGAGGTGATGGAAAGAGTAAAAATAGTGAGAGTTTTCCCAGGCTATTTCCCCGGTTTTGTTTTCACTGTCGACACGGAAGACAATGTAGGTAAGAACTGAGAGAGAGAGAGAGAGAGAGAGGGGAGAGAGAGAGAGAGAGAGAGAGAGAGAGAGAGAGAGAGAGAGAGAGAGAGAGAGAG